TTATCCCAGGCTAGCAGTATTCGACTATGCTGGCAACTTGTTACAGTGGGTGATGACAGACTCCTGTAGGAGGTAAATGTGAAAGAATGTGAGGTTACCAGGATTCAGAAGATATTTGGCTTACGCCGCACACAAAATGCTTCCTAAGTTAGGAGTCTGAAAACAATATGGCCTCTAGATCCTAGAGGATATTTAAGAACAGTGAAGTGAAAACCCCACCAGCTCCTCCCTGTAGAATATGTTGTGTAGCATGAACTGTTTCAAACCGTAAGTAGAAGAAAAGCTCTTTCACAAATTTATATTTCTAACACCATGTAGTTGGTAGACCCTGGGTAGATGCCAGGTGCCCACCAAAGCCGTTCCATCACTCCCCCTCCTCAGATGGACAGGGATAGAAAATATAATGGAAGACTCATGGGTCAAGATAAGGTAAGGGAGATCACTCACCAATTATCATCACAGGCAAAACAGACTCGACTTGGGGAAAAATTAATTTAATTCATTACCAGTCAAATTAAAGTAGGATAATGAGAAACAAAGCCAAATCTTAAAAAAAACCTTCCTCCCACCCCTCCCTTCTTCCCGGGCTTAACTTTTCTCCTGGTTACCTCCTCCATGGGCTGCAGCGGGACAGCCTGTCTCACAGTGGTGTTCACCATGGGCTGCAGGAGCATCTCTGCTCTGGCATCTGCTGCACCTCTTTCCCCTCCTTCTTCACTGACCTTGGTGTTTGCAGTTATTCCTCTCACATATTCTTACTCCTCTCTCCAGCTCCAATTGCTGTTGTGCAGCAACTTTTCCCCCTTCTTCAGTATGTTATCCCAGAGGCACTACGACTGTTGCTGATGGGCCTTGGCCAGCAGTGGGTCTGCCTTGGAGCCAGCTGGCATTGGCTCCATCGAACATAGGGGAAGCTTCTAGCAATTTCTCACAGAAGCCACCCCTGTAGCCCCCTCACTACCAAAACCTTGCAGCACAAACCCAAGACACATCATTTGCCAGTATTATTTTATCATCATTATTATATCAACAAATCCAATTACCATTCTGTGGTATTACCTACTTGCAATATACAACTTCTGTGGTTGGAGTAGATACAGTACAAGTTTAATCACCTGGGAACTGAAGTAGAAATGACATATAACCTCAGGCATGACCTAGATGCTCAGTTAAACTACAGGAAAATATTGCCAATAACAAGGTGTGTGTCTTCAGGTAAAAAGCTTACAAATTTGTTCCCAGTAATATTTCATGTGAAATAGTGTCTAGTTAAGGTCTCCCATCTCTTTGCATTTTATCTCACCTTATATACACTTATATAGCAGCATTTTATAATTAAATAACAGTAGAGATGAAAATGCAAGTATTTGGATTTTATTTACAGCTATGAAAGCATGCTTTACAATTTGTCATTCAGTCCAAGAATTCAGTTATCTTAAAAGGAAACTAAATTTTTCAATGACAAGTACCAGTTACGACTAAAAACTCAGCATTTGACATGAATAAATCTAATCTCCATGCATTAAAGAGAAGAATTTTGCTGACATTTTTTTATGACTTGGTTCCACTGTAATATTTCATCTGTTTGAATATATGCATGTAGTCAAAATAAAGAAGTAACAGTGGTATCTCTATTTTGTGATGTGGTAGCTGTCATTCTTAAAGATTGTCACTGTGACTGAATATATTATGTACTATAAATTATAATAAACTTTAAAATTCATAAATAACATTTAATCTGTTATCCAGAAAAACAAAACATTGTATAGACCTTTTACAAAACAATGGTGAACTGCTTTATAGATGCACCTGATAAATGGATAAATACGACTTTGGCTTTGAAAGGTAGTTCACTTGCTTCTAAAGAAGATTTCATATGTCTGTCAAAGAAAAGGTTGAAGGCAATGCCTTGCAAGTAAGCAATATCTATCAGGATGCATTAGGTAAAGCTAACTCGCACAGTACCCTTGTACCCTTGACCTTCTGAACACATTTGTAGATAATGTTGATGCTTCTGACAACAGACACAAATCCTCACAGTTCTGTGTGAAGATATTTCAATTCAGCATTGAAACTGTATTTTCTGTAGTATTAAGCCAATCATTTTTGTAAGATACAAATTTTGAGTTACACAGCAATACAATGCATGTTATAGCCTACACTTTGCAAATATCTTATAATGCTCACAGTAAGATAAGTTTCTTCTGTGTGGTAGTTGGATAATGGTCAAATCTGGGTCTAATATTCAATATCTGGGTCTAATATTCAAAATTAAACTGCCAGTGTCAAACACTCTGAAAGGCAGTTTCTGGATCTAGACTTTCAAGATCTACATGTTCCTGTAATAGAGAGAGGCAAATGGATTGAGGAGATGAGAACAAAGATGCTCACAAGAAACAGCTTCCTAAAACAATGCTTTTGTTTGCTTGTTTCCAAAAAAATCTACTGAAAATATGATGTGAGAATACATATAAATAGAACTTGCTGTTACATAAGTCGCGTTTTGAATCTATATTGATGTCAAGCTGGATTTATGGAAATGCCAATATGTTTTTCTTTCTCCATAGCTGTTTGTAAAATTAGAAAGATTAGTTAGTGTTCATTTACCATCATCCCGTTCTACATTTTCAGAATGTACCCTTTCAGTCTGGGTGCAGGGACAATGAAAGAAAGTAATAAAATGCAGATTTTGTAAAATACGTAAAATGTTATATCCTGATCACCCTCCAGGAAAAATTACAGGCTTTATATAGAGCTATGCGTTCTGTCAGCATATATATTGTTCTGTGGTACAGTTTAGGCAGAAAAGAAATTGTGAGAGGGAAGGGAAGGAAACATGGGAGCACTGGACTAGATTTGCACTGTCACCTTTGTGCTACCAGTGTTTCTCCACAGACTCCCCTGAGTTTATCTATAGCTGGAAGCAGATGTTGGGTGGCCCAATGGAAACCTTTCCTGGGTTGTCTTGACTTCCCCATGTGCTGATGTGCACACACACCCCCTGCTTGCTGCCAGAATATGGCAGCATGTTTTGTCGTCCACTTTTATCATCTCCCTGGAATGAAGCCCTCTCCATGGGAAGGTATGATTTATAAGGCATGGCTCTATTTCAAGAGACCTCACTAATATTCAAGGAAATGGCAAAAGCTGAAGGAGAGGAAGAGAAAACAGTAGGGAAATTCCTTCATGCCTGAGCAGAAGATGAGTTTTGGAGGTAAGCTTTCAAACAAATCAATCTTATTCCTTCAAAAAGCTCTAAGTTTTTAGTGCTGTCCAGAGATACATCTCTTCTCTCCTTACTTCCGTCAAGGAGGCTATATCTGTAGAAGTGTTAATAAAAAGTATGGTTACCTCAATATTTTCTTTTGACATACAAAGTTAAATATCGTCTGGAGGTTATTGACAGAATGTTCTGTCTCTTAACACCAGAAGCTGAAGATGTTATGAGAAGACCAACTTTGGAGACCTGTGTCCTGAGACAAAGACTACAAAAAATCAGGAGGGGTTAGGGGAAACCCCTTTGCTTCCAGCTCTCTGAAGAAGCCCCCCAAATTTTTTGTGTACCTGTGACAACTACCTTTGTCTCTCAAAAATCCCAAAACAGGCTCTCTCATTTGAGCTGTCTGTCTGAAAACTCAGTCAGGAACAATCTGTACCTGGATTATTCAGGGCCCTGAACAAAGGAGGATATCCAAATATTCTTGGAGACCTGGAATTGCATGCCTAGCTCCCTTTCTTGTCCAGCAAATGTTTCTGTCACTTGAGGTCTATGCTTACTCAGGGAAGGATTTGAGGACTGTACCAATTAGGCACGGAAAGGTTTTTCTTGGATATAAATTTTCAATAATTGCAATGAGTCATCATCACTAGATGCTTCAGGGCTTCTATGCAGTATTTTTCCATCTCTCTGAACTTCAGCACTACATTGGAGAGATTGTCACCAAAGTGTTTTCCAGATGTCCCCAAAAATAGGAATGAAAAAACTGCAGCAGTTTAATAGAGACATTTCTAGATGACTGGAGTCACCCACTCCTGAAGGTGATCAGATACAGATTGCTGTGACAATGTATGGTCAGCATATGCCTGGTGCCAAGCCTGTTCTCCAGAAAGTTTCCCTTAGGTGAAGCCTATCCTATAATAAAAGGCAGTCATCCTAGTTGCATGAATTTTATTAGTTGTGGTTTCACACTGCATGAATTCCAACTTGAGATGTTGTTTGTTTGACCAATGCCAGAGATTTTGTGATGTTAATATTGAGAAGTGGATAGGATGAGTCTGGGTGTGGAGGGGGACTCTTGTTCTATCTTGGGGGGCTTATACCTTGGGGTTTATGTCTTGATAGACAGGGAGCTCTCAGATGTACATCAATGAGATGCAGTGGACGACTCAGAAAGGACTAAGCGGTTTTGAATTTTCATACAAATGTTCCAACTAATGCCCAAATTGCTCTGAGACCTAACAAAGGTGAACAGAATTGAAGAAACTATTTATTCAGACTAACTTGACAGACATAGCCATTCAGTACAGCAGAGAAAGAAGTTTTGCATTTGATGATCTTTTTATTACTTTTGTTTCTTTTGCTCCTAGAAAATTGCTCTAGAACCTTTAGAAACAGAAACTGCTTTAATAATTCAGATTCACCTAAACAGCAGTAAAGAATGTTTCAGATATTGTATTAATGTTTTTCTAAACTGCATTTTTTTTCTTTCAGGAAGGCCTACTAAAAATATACTGTCTTGAAAACTCACTACTCCTTTCTCTTTTTTGTTAACTCTACCTCCTATGCCCAAATTTGAAAATGAGAGATGCAGTTCTAGTAGTTGAAACCCTTTTAGAGGTTCATAAATCAAGGCAAAGAAACTCATGTGGAACTTTATGCTAATAACTCATGTTTCAACACAAGCATATTGTTATAAAGCTGGTCAGTAGGAAGGTGTTGATTTAACTTCACACTTTTTTGAGTAAAATGTTAACACAAATATTTTTTTCTGTTTTTCCAGAACTAGAGGCAGAGGAATGGTGCAAACATCTTTGTATGGAATGTCTAGGAACCAGGCTCAATGATATAAGCCTTGGGGAACCAGATTTGCTTGCTGCTGGAGTCCAGAGAGAACAAAATGGTAAGTAACTTTGTAATTGCTCTTAGATCAGTTCTTAAGTGATGCCCCATGTTATCTTTGCTTATGTTTGTTGTTGTGAGGATTTTTACTACTAGCTAGAAACACATCATTAAGAACTAAATATTTGGATGTGGTTTTGAGGTTTAATCCTATTTTCCCTACAAATAAAGAGGATTGAATTCCATGCCAAATAGCACATGTAGATTGAATTCATGTCTTCATTGTGTTCGCATTTTCTTGTCATGAGAAATGATGACTATGACCCTTCTGGTTCTGGAAACAATGGCCTCTGTGCAGAGGAATAAAGCAGCAGCTGTTGTTCCACAGACTTTAAAAGACAATGATGAACATATCAACACCACTTTGGACTGCAAAACACATATTTGCTTTAAACTCTTGCCTGTCTTGAATAATGAAGTCAAGATCATCTGAATGTTGTCAAATACAGGTGAAAAGAGCAATGAGAGATGCTAGTCAGCACTAAGCCTGAGTTTGTAAGTCTTCATTTAAGGCTATTTAGAACAGAACTTCAGATTAAACATGTGGACAGGAAGGATGCTAGTGGATGGAATATGCAATAATGAAAAAAATCTGTGATTATTCTGTCATTTAATTCCTATTAATGATCATGAGGGCAACACAAAATGTGCTCATTTATTCCTCCCTAAATTACAGCTCTCAATGATTATTACTGTCCTGGTGCTTTTATTAGATCCAATAGCTTTTAACAACATAATAAAACAAACTGCCTCAGTGGTCATAAAATATCAAGCCAACTATCATTATAAACAAAATTACGTAATTAAATTATAGAATGAATAGCAGAGTATTGATTATATTATATTAATTTTGTAGAAGAGTCCAGATAACTCTGAATCTAATAACATAAAATATACAGAAATATTTTAGGAAATTTTGTTCAAAAATCAGATGTATTCAAGTACAATGTAAAATCAGTTCAAATATTTGTGAAGTTGTTTGCCTGCTATTAGACACAAAGTTTAATTTGTAGTCTTAAACTACTTAACAAAGAAAGACCTCCTAATGTTATAGTAAAGTGATAATGATCAGACACCACTCAAAGCATCCTATCTGCTATATGCTCATAGGATATAGGTATAAAACTCACGTGCATGCTGTTGAAGAGAGAGCTATGCGAGTAGGTGGAGCTCCTTCACAAACATGAAAAGGAATAAACTTTGTCAGAAGCCTGTGATGTGAGCAGAAAATAGCTTGAAATTCCTCAAGTTTTTTTTTGCAGTGATTTCATGTACTGTCCATCAACTTTTGGACACAGACAGCAAATAATGTATTTCATTTTGTTCTTGAAAGAGATTCAGTTACACTTACATGACCTCCAGAAAAAATCTTAGTTCTGCTATGTGAACTAGTTGTGATTCAATTGGCTTAGTCTAGAAATTAATTGCCGTTTTACTAAACAGCATATATGAACATAATTAGCATCTTTATTGTTCCAAGTAAATAAATGAAAGGAACCAAAGAGGCAAAGCATGTATTTGTTGTACAAATCACATGAATAAGAATGCAGGGAGGGTATCATTAGCCATATTATTTTGAACCATGTGGCTGAATACATATAATCCAATATTTGACAAGCATGCTCTGCTAAATCATTAGTTACAGTATCTCAGACAAGTAATTCTGATACCTATCCACTTCCTTCCCTCATCCCCTTGATGCACAGCACTGCATTTTAATAAGCATGTTTGAAATCAAATTTGTCTTGTTCAGAAGCAAAGAAAATCGTTTTGGGGGTCTTTTAACCAACTTGGAAGGAGAGAATAGTACAGAGATTCTTACTATTGTATGAAATCTAGCATTTTGTTCATTTAGCTGTGCTGTAAGACCCTGCAGTTGCACTCAATTTTTTTTAGCAGTTTCTATCAGTAAAATCAGTTAAGTGGAACACTGACTTCATTTTATGCTAGTTATGTTATTCTGTAAATTTGGCAGTGTTATTCCCCACATGACAGTTTTATGGAGAAGGTGACCAATTGGAGGGTGGAATCATTTGGTAAGCTCTGATAAAAATTTGAAATTTAAAAATTTGTTTTCTTTCACATTTTCTCCATATTGTAGCTTCTAAAGGCATGCTATCAAAAACTGTAGTTCAAAAGATACCTAAAAACCTTTCAAAAGCTTTTTTCAAGAGCTTTTGCTGACCTGAAACTGAAAGGTTGAAGTTAATTCTCCAGTTTGAAATTCATGAAAAGTGACTATATGTATTAAATGTCTAAAATCATGCTCATTGTGAAAATGGCAGCTGTGTCACTCTCAGGGTCATTTTAAGTTTTTGTGTTAAATAAAAAGTGTACACTGGTATAGTACCTCTGAATGTCATTATTTCAAAACATACTGCAAGTATGTCAGCTTCATATAATTCCTCTTGAGTTAGTTGATGTATTAATATTTACTTGGAACAGAGATGTGAGAACAGAATTTGTAAAACCTGTAATAGAATTGTAAAGCCTCAGCATCCAGTTTCATTCAGGCTCTGTTGCCGAAACCATACAAGGGCTTTCTTTCGGGTCACTGAACAAAAGATGTCTCTTAATATCTGAGCAATACCATAGGTTGCATTGTCATAAAGACTAAAATGCCAGTGGTTTTCCAGTTTTAGATAATATTTTTTAAAAAACTTTTAAGGGCTAAAAGCAACTGAATAACTGTTACACTGTTATCTATATGATATGACAGTTTGTTAATACCATTAATCCCAAAAGAACAGGTATATTAACCATTAATCCTATCTCATTCCACTGTCTTTTTTCAAATGGTTACCTTGCCCTAAAGATTTTCTGAAATGTTTAAAATTTTATAAGATTCTTCCTTGATCATAAAAAAACTAACCTAATAAGGCGTTTTTTTTTTTTTTTTCATTAGCTGCTTTACATTTTCCTAGAAATAATTTTAATACACTATGTTCTTAATCAGTCCAACTACTTGCCCATTCCTGTCCTTAAAAGACATTTGCATGATGTATATCATGTACTTGTAATTGTATTCACTGAAGGAATCATGTAAATTGGCTATCTCTTTAAAAAAACACTAGGTTTTCTATTGTGTAGGTTTGTGGTTTAGTGCCTGTATATGACCACCATAGCCAGTACCTTGAGTTTGCAAAATTTATAATTTTAATTGTAATTGTATATGCCCTGGAACTATAAAAATTGCTACATGGTACTTATTTTTTATACCCAAGGACTCACATTTCAGAAAATACTTGGCAAGGAAAATACATGTGTTTTCTATGATTTATTCAGTATCTCTTTTTGTTACATCTGAATCTGTTTATCCTCCCATTCTCACTCTTGTGGTTCTCTGAGATGAGCTTTTGATTTCAGAAGGAAAGACATCTGATTCTCTGTGACACGAATGAAACAATATGGTTTGCAAAACAGTTTGTTCTAAAGGCTGGCAAAATTGCTGTTTGGTGTGCAAATGTCATGGCTAAAAGGCCATATATTCATAAAGCATTTCTGTCATATGAGAATAAAAATTTGCCGTAGTGCAGAGATCTGAAAGAGACATTCTTTTATAGTTCTGAGTTGTTCAGTAAGTGCTAGTAAGATCTATTTTATTGCAGCTGCACTGTTGCTTGACCCTCCAGCATCAAGCAATTCTGCAGTGGTGATAGCTAAAAGAGCCAAACTATAGATCTGCACTGCTTATAGCAGAGACCTCTAGCTATTGTGTCTTGTACGAAGACTAGAGAAGACATATAAGCAATTCTTGTGCAAAGCACATCAGTAACAGGAAGCTTCTCACTGGATTTCATCTCTGTTATTACTCTCAAGAAATATTACCGAAGTCTTACTGTGTAAACACCACTGTGGAAAATGACCCTTAGGTGGTTTTCTTTTTACACTTAAGACACACAACTAACAGCTGCTTAGTTTGCAATGATATGCAGATTCCAATAAAAGTGAGATTTCAAATGAAGCTTCTGTTACTCTCCAACCATTTTACCTTCCTCTCCTGCAAATCTAAGTTATGTGCTCGTGCTCCTCAGCCCTATAGCAGCAACCCCGTTTCTGTTCAAATTCCTTTTGACACCGATCACAATCTCTTACTGTTTATGAAAGTCCATTTAGATTATTTGATAAAGAATGAAAATATAGTATTAAATCAAAAGCAGCAAAGGCTACGTGATACTATTCAGATAACAAATTTAGTATAATGGCAGTGCAGCTGTATATACAACGATAAGACAAATAATAATATACAGTTATAACTCCAGGAAAGAAAATCCGGACTCAGTTGGATCTGATAACACTGTTGACAAGCAGTCTTCTAAGCAATATCCTGTGATACTTACACACACATTTCATATTCCTTAGGTTTCTCAAGCTGCTGCTAGGGAAAGAAACGATGAATGTAGAGTGCTGAGTTCATCTGGAAGAATTGGAAACTTCCTTTCCAGCTCTCAATGCATTTGGAAGCATTTGTAATACACCCCAAAACATAACAACAAAAACAAATCTATTTTTTAAGATATTTTTGACTGACTGGATGTCATCATATCTAGAATTTGTCCATGCTCGTGATTTTTTTTCAAAATATCACTGTTTCCAGTGTGTGACTGTATTTTCATTCTTTATAAAAGGAAATAATTAAGAAGAAGTCATCCAAATGGACAGTATACAATGACAAACTTCTTACTGTGAAAAAGAAAACAGAATATTCAAGTCAATATTAAAAACCCATTATGTGTAGACTGTGCTACTAAATTCACTCTTAAAGAGCAGGTGCTTCCCTTTGGTGAGGAATCTATTCCTTATCTATTTTGAATACTAAATAATAACACTAAAATAGCTGAATACTTGTACTAAATCATAGTCTATTAAACTTCACTTGTAAACCTGATATAAACAGTGAAGAAAATAGGCAAATATAAAAATTAAAATTTTTAAATTAAGAAAAGGCCTGATCCATCTTCTGCTGCTATAGCTCATTTATTGTTTTATGTCAAGCCTGTGATGTCAATATGATGCTTTGCTATTATGTGTTACCGGTGCTTTGGCTTTTTTTTTTCTTTTCAATGCATTGTGAAGCTAATTTTTATTTTAGAAGTCTGGAAAAGTTTGAAAGATAATTGATTTTTTACTTTTATGCCCTACCTAAAATTTAAATTAATAGCTCATAAAATTACTTCCTTTGTAAATGTTTTCCTCTTTTTCATAACCTTTTTTACCATCCTTTTTTATTTAAAAACATTCCACAGTACAGCAGTCTTGCTTACTGTGTTTTAATTGCAAGAAAATCATTAATTTATGTTAGTAAAATTGTAGTTTATCATAGTGAACAATGTCCTTGAATCCTCAGAAGAGGATTATTTCTTTATGCTACATATTGAAATTACAAATTACAGCCAAAGCATAGAGACTTTGTAATTAAGTTCACAGAACTGACATCTTTTAGGGCATTTGCTAGGATCTGTAGAATCTCTGTTTGTGATTTACTACATAAGAGCATTTTGAATGTTTTTTATTCATCTTCTGTTATCCTTAATCCATTTTTATACTTTGCTTTGGTTTGGTTTGTTGTTTTTGTTTTGGTTTTTTTGGTTTTTTTTTTTTTTAATAAACCAAACATAGCCAGCTTTATTTAGAAAAGAAAAGTGTTTGCAGTTTTAATGGCTGGTTAATACAGTGAGATTTCAGATTCTTCTCTACCTTAACTACTTACCAGTAAAACAATTTAAAATAATTTATTTACGGTAGTCGTTATATTTTCCTTTTTCATTAATAAACATTTCCATGTATTTTTAATGGAAGCAAAGCAGAATAATTAGAAACAAAGGAATAAAATTAATTCTAGAGTCCTGTTTCCTCACTGTGCAAAGCAGGAGAGAATTGTTCTAATAGACCTGAAATATGTACGAACACAAAATGCTATGACTTCAAGACAAAACTCTCTTTCCACCTGAAAATTGGCCACAGATGGTCATCAGCAGACGTCTCATAGATGGAAAAGGAGTTTCATAGAGACAGAAACTGAATGTTTGCTTTTAAAGCCTCTTATATAGACCCCAACAACTTGACTGCATCCTTCCAGAAGTAGTTTTTCCCTCTCATTAAAGCTGAAATGAAACAAAGCATCTGGATTGCAAGATTGCAATGTCATCTGGTTAGTTTTGCAACTGATCACTTAAGCAAAGGAATCCAGTGATAAAATGGCAGAACCAGTATCATTTGGCCTCACAGTCATTTTGCTTCCCCAGTACAGCTGGACTTTGAGCCGAAAGGCTGAGAGCATTTCAGAGTTGCTGCCAAGTCTCTGTCTCAGCCAATATGCTCACTTTAACAAAGACTTTTATGCTTCTGTGCTCTGGAAAACATTATTAGAAGTCATAGTCCTGCCAAAGCCCAAATGCTAAACACCTTTACATGCACAAAGTGTATGATGAAGCATTTCTCTGCTTATTCAAGGAGATCAGAAAGAGCAGTTACATTGAAAAGAGTGAAATAATAAATGTAGCAATATATCACCATTTTTTCTCATCCTGGCTCCCCCACCCCCAGAACTTTGCTCTCACCAATTTTAGAGGAGAGAGGATAGTGAAGCTGAATGCTGAGGAATTGCACCTGCTCAGCCTTAGCCTTGTCTTGTCCAACAGGATAGCATCTTTTTGGTTTCTTCCATCTCCCCATTTTCTGGGTCCTTCATTAACTTCTCTTTACTTAATCTTAGTACCCAGTGAACTCTTATTATCTCATCCGATGTATAGGCAGATGGTATCTGACCCACAGAGAAGCTAAATAACCTATTCAATGTGATTCAGAAGATCTGGTAACAGAATTCAGCTGGGATTCCCAAATATAGTTTATGAATGTTCTTACCTGGATAAGTTTGAAGGCAAAACTTGCTATTAAAATTGAAATATTACATTACCATTACCTAAATACCTGTTCAAATATTTTCTGAAATTAAAAAATTGGACCCTACATTTTAATTCATAAAATCATTTAATAGTATCTACACCTTTCCATGTCCTTAATTTCCCACTACTCAAAAACATTAGGTTTTGTTTCAAAAGCAAATATATCCATCCTCAGTCTTCTCCAGCACATATGTTTGTACACTTGCTTTTCTTGCCAATTTGAGTAAGCTCCAAAGGTGCTACATTTTACCCTGCAGCTGATGTTCAGTTTAATCAGACATACTTTCTTTAATCCATGACACCTCACCTTAGACGCTGACCTCCCATGCAAAGTCAGCAAATATCTCCTGACAGTTTGAGGATACTGTATGTCCTGAATACCCTTCATGAATTAATATCCTCAAACACTTCAGAGAAGTTGAACATTTCATGAGTATCCTGGTAATGTCTAAACTAAGTTGAAATAGTCTGTGCCTTCAACACAACCATTTAATATTTACCTCAGAAAATAATTATACCTTTCCATTTTCTCTGCTATCTCATGCTCATATAGTAGCCCTATTCCCCCGCAGACACATTGTGTGATTTCATGTAATGTAAAATAGAACCGGCTGATATGTCAGTCATCTGCATCTTTCCTTCAAATAGAGGAGGTAAGTAACAATAAGTAACAGTATGACAAAGCAAAACTGGAGTCTAATTTATGATAAAAGCACATGTGTGTAGCTCCTAGACATTTTTGCATGACCATCACAATGACATATGGATACTGAAAATGAGCATATATGTATATATATAATTCCATTGCAAAGTTTATCTTGTTCTCTTCCATTCCCTTCCCAACACAGTCATTAACACATACCCCCATGTGTGAGTCCTTCCATTAACTTTAGTAGGTGTTAGGTTAAACCTGTGCCTAATGCACTCCTCTGAGAAACAGGGGAAATTCTTTGCAGTGATCTCAGAAGCAGCTGCTAATCTATTTGTGCTGTGTGTCAGAAGAGTTTTACAAAACATTAGTAATCCCACAGTTGGTAATTTAGTCATAAAATGAAACTTTTAGGGCTATCACCCATTAGTGTGATTAATAAGAACTAGGGCCTGGGACAATGGGTTGAGTGGCTATGAGACTGAATGAATCAATTGGGGAGTCATTAATAGGACAAAATTAAATTGACTGAAACAGAATAACATTGGGGATGACAATTTTACTTATAGATATGCAAGAAGGCAATTCTTACTGCGCACCCAGTAGTTCCATGCTTCCATTACATTCTCAGCCAAACTTCTGCTACTTTATTCACACACACACACACACACTTCTAACATAGTTCATATCAACTCACTTATTTGCAATATTTTCACTTATTTGTCAGAAACATGTATATATATATCAAATGTTTAAAAAACGGAGACATCATATTTGTGATATTCAATGTCAAACACAATGGGAAGCTGCATCTAATTTTAACTGTTAGGATAAATCTCTCTCGCTTTATTCCTTTTCTGATTACTTTAAATTCCTTACTAATTTTTATGAGGACACTATAAGAAAACTCAGTGCAAATGATGGATTGAAAATATTCCACACCAAACTGTCATTCATTTATCAAGTAATTGGAGACAATTTTTCTATCAGGTTTTCCTTTAAAGTACATTTTCCCAGTACTGTTCATTGAATGAACATCGCTTATGCTCATACTTTAAATCATTCTTTTTTGTCAACACCCTTCAGTGGAGTAGCATTGACATTTTGCATTTCTATCCTACTTCAAAAATGACAGAAATTGTGAGAGGAAGTTGTGAATCAGCTACACTCTCCTATATTATGCTATTAATCTCTAATATTTTAAAGCTTGTAGAATTAAAATATAGACTAGCACTTCCAATAGTACAACCTGAAATTTAACTGAGTTTTTCATTCTTTGTAGAAGCAACTTTTAAAAACATTAATTATTCTTCAAATAAAATTGCATTTTTATTTAAAATTATCTTACTATTACTCTGTTGTACTTACTTCCATATGACTTAATGGTGTTTTATATCATCTTCGGTTTTTCGGTTTTTCTTTCCTTTTAATTTTAAGGATAGTTTTTACATTGCTTATTAAATCACATGTGATTCAGGCACTTCAGAAAATTGTTAAGTCCCTGGACCTGTTACTGCAATGAGTGCACTTTGCAGTGGAAGTGCAGCTGATAGCAATTGATGTCATGACCACAATAATATATAGTGTTGAGTCAGATTTTTCAAGAAAGCAACAGATGATTAAAAATGTTATTAATTTGAGAAATTGTAATGACTTTGGCAAATAAATAGAAACTGAACACACAGAACATAATTATTAACAAGCTTCAGTCAGTAAACCTGGGTTTGCAATTTCAAGGACAGTTTTTCTACGGGGCAATGGCTGTACATACATGTTTTGCCAAGATACCTATAGTTCTGTTCCTCAAGAAAGGAGTCTGTCAGAGTTCAAATCATTGTGAATTTGGATTTGCAAATAGTCATGGGCCTTAATGTGAGGATAAAGGACTTCATTTAAGTTGCTGGGGACATACGTCAAAGATGACTATGCAGATCAACTGTGAAAGATATTTCAGTCTGCTGTGTTATTTATAATGAAAATGAAATACAGAAGATTCTCCTCATACTCCTCTCATGCACACTAGCAAGGCTGCTTCAACATCAGCAGACCCTTACTTCTGTTCAAGGCCAGAAATTTGTCCTTGATTTCTGAACCATCAGTAACCAAAGACTTTATTTTATTTTTTTCCCCAGTATAAAATTTTGCTTTACTTGGTGATGCATTATTCTGTGTTTGTTTTTGTTTGTTTTTTTTTTTTTTTTTTCCAGAACGATTCAATGTCTATCTTATGCCTACACCAAATTTAGATATCTATGGGGAATGTACAATGCAGATCACACATGAAAACATCTATCTCTGGGATATCCACAATGCCAAGGTCAAGCTGGTCATGTGGCCTCTCAGCTCTTTGAGGAGATATGGGCGTGACTCCACATGGTTCACATTTGAGTCTGGAAGGTAAGAGCTAAAGAGAAGCAGCAGGAAGAAATAAGCAATGAAATCTGAGAAGCAATCTGATAAGTTAGATTAGCTTTTCATTATAAAGACGAAATACATGGCCTCTTCATAGACTTCTGTTTGTTGAATATTACTTTTCAATATATTCAAACAGTGTTCGGAATAAACATTAATATATCTTACATTTAAAATGAGCTTAAGCTTCATCTGACTTTTATTTAACTGTGGTTTAGTTGTCATTCTTAAGATTTATGAGTCTCACTGTGCTTAGACACTAGTGTGGTATAATTTGAGCACTTCTGATGTATAAGAAATTAATTCAGGATCATAGAGAACACTCATCACAGAATATGAATGGAATAACTTCTGTTACAGTAGATATTACTCTTTTTGGATGTTCCTGATGACTGATTGCCACCCTAGAGTACAATTGCAAGCAGGAGTACAGAGAACATTGTGAATCCATAAAAAGGCTAGCTCCTTTTTCTGCCTGCAGTTTTAATCCTCGTTGCCATTTCCATCCTTATATCAGTTTTAAATGACTGTGGAGCTCTGTTTGGCCTCCCTTTCTTGTCTTTTTAAATCATTTCATATCTTGCCATTAGGTCCACTGCCTTTTCTGCATATCTGCACAGAAATAATTATGCATTTATCCCTGTCTTTGCTGATGTTTCATCTTGTATTTTATAGTTCTAGACTTTTCTGGTTTTCATACTCCCTTCTGCAGAGCCTCAATTTTGTGAAGCAATCTGTGAAATTACAGGTGTTTCTACACTTGGGTTGGCCACACTGCCTTGTTAAATATCTTCATAGACATTTAGATGTGTACTTATTCAATATAATTACCAAATATTCACAAAAGTAGAGTTGGTGATCAGAAACAAAAACATAGATCATATGGACCCTACAGCCTAAGAAGATAATGACCAAAATCGTTCTTCAGTCCCTTATAGATGGGAGTTACCACTTAACTCATAACTGTATATCCAGAATGATGCTAGCAGACCATTTTAGTGCTCTGCTACTTTTCTGTGATGACTTCACCATTAAAAATCATTAAGACATAATTACTTTTTTTTTTTTTTATTTATTTAATGTTGTTTTACTAAAAATTAGCAGTGGCTGACCCATGTTTCAATTTAATTTCAAGGATTAGTCTGTGGAGCTCATTCACAAATACAGTTTTAGCAAGATCCATTTGCTAAATCATTCCTTCCCCCAGGCCTCAAGCTACCTCATATGAAACTAAAAAGCAACATACATATGCAATACCAGAAAGCAATAAAATGCCAAAAACAATACTTGAAACCCACCATATTATTCTGGGGAAAACCAAGCTTGCAAGCAAACAAAGAAAGAAACAAAAACCCTAGGATTTAGATTTATCCCATTCTTTGTGTATATCCCCCCTCATCAGACTCTTTGGCTGAATCTGTATTTGCAAGTATGCATTTTATTAAAGGGGAAGAGGTTATTTTTGCATAAGAAAGTAATGATTGAAGACTTACTAATGTTTGCTTATTTGGAGTAGTATATGCGTCTGTGAGTAGACCCACTTCTTTTAATTGATTCTGAAGGAAACTGTCTTTGGAAATGGGAACTGTCGTTTACTAAAATTAAGCTGCTAAAACTAATTCAGATTAATCACTTGAAGTTGATTTGTTATACATGTCTTAAAATATAGGTGTGTCATTCTCTACAGTGTTTTAATTACAAAAAAGGTCATTATGCATCTTAGTGATATTCTTTTTTTTTACAAGATAGTTGCTTTCTGTACTGTTCTATTTTTATCTATGGCACATCAGTACTAAAAAATTGTGTATAGCAATTGTATATATTTAAGTAAAATGTAAGTTTTATCTCTCTGCTTTTTCAAGCCTCCTACAGTATTTTAATTCCATACTAGTATCTGAATATCATCTTCCCTCATTCCATGGACCATGCAACCTGATGAAAAGCAGATTGTTTTCTTGTGTTTTATTATTATGAGCTAGCTCTGCCTTTATCTGTCATGCTTTATTGTCTTTGATCTGATTCCTCCCTTTTGCTTGTTTGGGAGTGTTTTATCCATCTGATTTGGAAATGCATAAGGACTGAATTTAGACTGGCAGAAAAAGAGGTAAAAAATAGGACATGAGAAAATGCAGTATCTTCAATAACATCTGAAGACTATACAGGGCAACACTAATGCTCATAGTAAAATCTGTTGATTTATTTGATTTTTATTTTTATTTTTTAATCAACATCTTTCTCAGCTCTTTGAACGTGATTTTCATTGTCCCTTGATCTGCTAGTACCTTACTAGAGTACATTCCTGATGCATGCTGTCTTAGCAGAAGTGAAGCACTCATCCATGTTTTATGAGAATGTTACGCGGTAAAAGTGTTGTTGCTTTAATTTTCCCCTAAGGCTTAAATATTAAATGTAGACAATTGCTTTAAAGGAAATATTTTTAAATAGGTTCTTATTTTTTACTGAGTTTTAGCAGCTATGTGGTATACGTGTAAGATGTTTACATAACATTAAGAGCTCAGTTTTATGTATTTATTATCCATCCTCAGTTCTGGTATTACTTTGAGAAAATAAATCCCTCCCATTAAAATAAATGGACATATTCACAGAGATACTATGATAAATAAATAAATCAAAATTAAGCTTTCAGACAATTACATTTATCTTTTAATAAATAGATTCATTTGCATTTAAATGGAATATGGACTCAAATATATAAAACTAAACTGTTCACTTGGCTAATGAAATTAATAACTATATGGTGTGGAGGATGTCTAAAATATGGGAGGAATGAACACAGATTATTTTAAACTGTAAGATTTTTCTGTTTAGTTTTGCACTGAATTGGAGTTTGTAAATATGTATCTTTGCACTACCTATGAAGTTAGACCTATCCTTATTTTTCATTATTTAGTGAACCAATGAAAGTGGATGTTTCTTGCACAGTGATTTACTTAAATGTGTTCTTCCCTATCGAAACTCCACTGAAATTTGGGGGAAGCACGGTTTTGTGTGGCTGTGTTCCATGATGGAAGGAGATACTCTCATTATTTGAAGTACCTGATTAGGTTTAATCCCATGCAATCTATCCATTGATCAGAAAATAGTAATTCACAACTCCATTGGGCACTACAGTAGCTTTGTACTGATTAATACTGTACATCTAACACAGTGAATGGATCCCACAGTAGTTCAGAGCACCTTCTACCTTGGGAGGTGAATGCCTAACATTCACTTTTCCAAGAACTAGCCTTTCCACCTGACCAGATTTGGACTGGATTGGGAAATTTTGATGTTGAATCATCAGTGAGTCAACAGGACTTCCTTAATTTATGGACATGTATAATGTGTTCACACACCTCATTCTCATTATTTTGGGTATTGGATATGTTGGAGACACTGCCTAAGAACGCAGTTGATCTACATGTGTGCACCTATTTCCCTTCAAACTTTTGAAACTCCTACTCCACATACATGGGCGTTAGTCCCAGACTATCTCTGAGTTTAAGCCCCTGAACTGGTAAATGTGCTTCTACGGGACTGCCTGACTAACTGTCCAGATGAAGGTGCTGTAAAGTTGCACTGGATTGCATTAATTACATGAAATCCAAGAAACATGATGGAAAAGTAGTAAAGCAGGTATGGATGAAATATCTCATAGCCCAAATCAGGTGTGAAGACACTGTTTTCAGACTCCTGCCAAAGTTACAAAATTTGTTGTAAACCAAACAATCCATAACAAAGACCTTAAGCAATGTTTAAAATTCACTCTGTGGAAACTGCAAAAGGCAGTTGTCCAAGCTTTCCTTTTAGCAAAATAAGCTGGCTGAGGCACATGTTTAGGAACGTAGGAGGGGACTCCTAAGAATTCAGAATTGAGGCACTGAGAAAAATAAACACATACGCACTCTGTTCCTTTTGAAATGCTCTTTCTTTTGCTTTACTGCAATTTTGCCGTTTACATTAAACAATATTTTTAATATATGGAAGCTCTCTGGTCAAGACTATTAAGTACTGGCCAGAAGTATCCAAAAAAAAAAAAAAAAAAAAAAGCTAAAGTCAAGCTGAAGTAAAATTAAACATGGTAAGAAAATACAATAAGGGCATGGGCTATGGAAGTCCCAGCCAAACTTTGTCAAATACTGTAAGTTTCCAGCTGAGTAGAGAGGTGGAGGCAGTAGGTTTGATCTTGGAATTTTCAGTTCAGAAGGAGCCACAAATCCATGACACACTCCTTTTTCTGTCATATATTTTCTTCTGTTTTGTAGACAAGACATTGAAATCTAAATTTCAAGTATTTCCAAATTTATTCATGATGCACATTCAGAGACACTCATTGAACAACACTAAACTATATCTTCTTTATTGGCCTTTGATTTTATTTTTTTCTTCATCAGAAAAAGTCTAATGAAATGTGGTTTTCTCTGTCACTTCTAAGATCTGGAATCTGTTTCTTTGGTTAAGAAAATTAATAAATTCAAGCATCACAGAGCTGTGACATGAGAATTTCTCTTTTTTTTTTTTTCTTCTTCCTTTTATGTGAACCAAGACTGACATACTCATTTTCTCAGTGGTAGATACACAGATGCCAGGGTTATCTGAATCAGAAAGTTCAGTGTTTGCTTCAGGCACTACATCTGACTGAAATCTTTCATTTGTCTGTCAGTCCTCTGTGGTGATTTTTGTTGTTAATGTGAAATGTATTAGTCAATTAACCCTTAAAGTTAAGTTATCCTCATTTTCCCTTATGTGGGGAGAAGCCTCTTATGCGTGTGCCTCATGAGACAGTTGTTCCGGGACTTCATACACCAATATATGTACCAACTCAGGTCTATACCTCCCTGAAGAGAAGCCTTCAATTCCTAATTGCTGGTAGATTTTCTAAATTGTGGATTAAGTATATCACAGATTTATTGTAGAATTAGAAATCATATATTCTAAAGCATTCTAAATATCATTAAAAAACATAAGCTTGTTATAGAATTGGT